CTGATCAACCAGATGGTGATGGTGCCTTTTATGGAGATGGAGAAGCCTGGGAGAGGACCAGCTGGAATCAAGGGCTTGGGCATCTGTGGTTGAAGTGATTCAATGATGATGTCAGACTGGCCTTTGGGTATATATCTATAGCTTAAAGGAGGAATCTAGGCAAGTAACAAAAATATGGGAGCCACAAGGCTGTAGATGGTATATTTATATCCATAGGAATGAATGAGATCATGTCTTGGTTCTCTAGTGCTGCTGTAATAGACATACCACAGATGGATGGTTTTAGCAAACAAGGATTTATTATCTTACAGTTTAGGAGGCTAGAAATCAGAGTTCAAAGTGCCAGCTGTAGGGGCTGGGTGAAGGCCCTTGATCTTGGGCTTCAGCTCTGCCTCCTGTTCTAGGCCCACTAGAGCTGGAGGCTTTTTCTTTCTTTTCTTTTTTTTAAAAATTGTGATTTGGGTGAAAGTTTACAGAGCAAATTCACTTTCCATACAACAGTTTACATACACTTTGTCTCATGACATTGACTACAATTTATCCCAATGCAACAGTTCCCCTCCCACTTCCTCCTGATAGTTACCTCTTCCCTGTGTCCATCCCTCCATGCACTCCTGCCCCCTGAGCTGTCTCCCTGTGCATAAACAGCCTTTCTTTCTCAATGATTGTTCTCTCCAAGGAGTGTATCTACCTCAGGTAAATGTTCAACTCATATGCTTGTCTTTTCTTTGGTTGGAAGCCACAGGTGTGGGTTCAATTAGAGATGGGGGCTTTTTCTGACTCACAAAGCTGAGGCTGATAGACCCAAGATTGACAAGTAAAATGGCATAGTCCCAAGATTAGCAAGCAACATGGCAGGCCACTAGTTCCAGTCCAGAAGTAGTCCCAAGATTGGCAGGCAACATGCCAGACCACTGATGTCTCAGCCAAATGCAGGATCCAGATGTGTCAAGAAGCTCAAGATCTTTCTCAAAGAGTCCCTGTATCTACTGGAAACAGGCTACATCCTGGAGGCAGCTACTCAGATGGTCACAGCAGATTTCACCATGGAGCTGATTACCAATCTCATCATGGGGAATAACTACATCCAGTTGCTCAGCCACTCAAAACCATGTCCCAGCCAAGTTGACACACAACCCTAACTGCCACAGATCATCTAGGAATATTGAGAAGAGGCCGCAGGACTGGGTTCTGGGGAACTCTGACATTTCAGAGGTCAGATAGAGTTGGTGATAAGTCCCTAGGTGTTACGTATGGTTAAACACTCTACTACTAACCTGAAGGTTGGAGGTTTGAACTGACCTAGAGGCACCGAGGAAGAAAGGCCTGTTGATCTACTCCTGAAAGATCACAACCACTGAAAAGCCCATGGAACACAATTCTACTCTGAAACACACAGGGATGCTGTGAGTCAGAACTGACTTGATGGCAACTGTTTTGTTTGTTTTGTTTTTAGAGTTAGTGAAACTGGGAAAGGACATTGAGAAAAAGCAACTAGAGAATTTCTCAGGAGAGTACAGAGTCCCAGAAAAGAAGAGAGAAGAGTGTCTCAGGTGGCAAGGAGTGGTCAACTCTGCCAAACCTTCCATTAGTAGGACAAAAGCAGACTCTGGATTTGGCTGCTTAGCAACCAGGAGTGACCAGACATGAGAAGTCTTTGGTGGAGATGGATATCAGTTTGGAGTTGAGATTTGTTGTTATTATTTTTTTAATTGAAAGATTTATTGAGGTTATTGTAGATTCACATACAGTTGTAAGAAATAATAGAGAGAGATCCCTTATACACTTTGCCCAGTCTTCCCTGATGGCAATATTTTTCAAAACTACATCACAACCAGGTATTGACATTGTTATACTCCATCTATCTTATTCAGATTTCCCCACCTTTACTTATCCTCATCTGTGTGTGTGTGTGTGTGTGTGTGTTTGATACAATTTTATCATATGTGTAGGTTTATGTATCCACCACCACAGTCAAGATACTGAATAATTCCAACATCCCAAGGATCCCTGGTGTTGCCCTTTTTTTAACCACACCCTCCTCTTTCCTAACTCCCTGATGCTGAGCTCACCAAATATGACAAAAATTGGGCGGAGAGAAAGGCAGTGAGCCAAGAGCCAAACAATGGGAAACAGCCAAGAGGTTGATCAATGACATCAATTAAGATGGTATATCCAGGTAGTAAAGGTTTAAAGGAATAGATGTTTTATAGAAGGAAGGTGAAGCATTGGTCTAGAAATGGCATTGAAGGTGGAGGAGGAATGTATTTATCCACTTCCTGTCCTGAGATACACAAAAATGAGAAATAACATTCACCTAAGAGGGCTGCCAATGAAGCACTGTCCTTAGATGATAGCCAGGTTTCTGGTAAGGCAAGGAAGTGAAGGCAGCATCCTGAGATAGGGCTGAAGATATGGAAGAGGGTGCTGATTACAGGTTGCAGAGGGCACAGTAGAAGGGCGTGGCTGGGGCAGGGAGCTAGGAGAAGAGTTGGGCAGATTGCCAGTGTGAGGACCTGGATGCAGGTGATCAAGATTGAGTGGGAATTCAAGTTTGTGGTGGTGATTGAAGTAAATAGGAATAGGGCCATGATGGGATACAACATGCTGTCCAATAGAACTTTCTATGATGATAGCAATATTCGTATCTGCACTGTCCAATATGGTAGCCACCAGCCACATGCAGCTATTAAGTACTTGAAATGTGGCTAGTGGGACTGAAGAATTGAGTTGCAAATTTTATTTCATTTTAATTAATTCAAATTTAAATAGCCACATGTGGCTGGTGGCTAACATATTGGACACCATAGGTTGGAGGAAAGGGGCTCCCAATTTTTGTGAATTTTCTACTTGCTGACCAGGTGGCCACCAGGGTGGCCAATCCCCCAAACAGCAAGCTAGGCAGAGACTTTCTGACTCCTCCACTATGTGAATCCAGACAAAACACGTGATTAGACAACGAGGTCAAATCACTGCTTACTAGCTTTGAGTTAGAGCAAATAAATTAACTTGCCTGGCAGATATACATCCTCAATAAATATTAGCTAGCAGAATAAATCTCCCTGAGGTTTGATTCGTTTCATCTATAAAACTGGGGTGGGGAGCAGTTGTAAAAATTAGTACTTTAGTATGATGTTCAATAAATGGTCATTATTATTGACACAGTGAGTTCTCAATATTAAAACTGTCCCTCAAGCCATAGGTTTATTTTTTCAGGGATGGGCTGGCAAAAATGAGCCATCCCAGCTCCCTTTGAGGGCCGGGAGGATTGCTAAGGTCTCTGAGACTATGAGATAGGGTAAATCAGGGCTGGTGTTAATCATCCAATTTTGCTATGTACTACTGTAAAAATGTACAGGGTCAGTAAAAAAGGGGAAGGCCCCCAATGAGATGGATTGATACAGTGCTGTAACGATGGGCTCAAGTGTGGCAATGATTGTGAGGATGGTGCAGGACTGAGCAGTGGTTCATTCTGTCATTCATAGAGTATGAGTCAGAACCGACTTGCCAGCACCTAACAACAACAGTGTAAGAACACACCTGGCTTGACCTTGGAGGAGTACGTAGGGATGGCTAAGGAGACAAGGTAGAAGATCTTACAGTGAACCAGAGGATGGGATGAGCCTTATTTTTAATTTTTTGCTGGAAAAGCCTTGTTTGGTAGCACCAACCTTTCTTTTGCCCCTGAACCCTCATCATCTAATAAATAAATAAATAAATAAAGTATTTGTGAAGTAGAATAATATTCTGTGATGGCTCTGATATAGGTCATTTGTGTTACGCAAGTATGTGAACTGGGGGTCATAGTGACCTCTGATCTGTAATGATTGTGATTACCCTTTCAGCAAAGCTGTCCCTAATTCCCTAGGCAGTTTGTTACTTTCTCTGTGAGTGAGCACTTACCTAATATTATGATGGCCTCTCTGTGTGGCTCCCTCACTAGATTGTGACATCTGAGGCAGGAGCCTTGTCTCCTTCACTATTGACTATTCCTGGACTCCAGCACAATGCCTCAAGCACATAGTAAGTAGCTGCTCAGTAATTATTTGTTAAATCAGTGAATGAATAAATGTGGTTTGAGATGACAGCAACTCATTGTGATTTGAGATAATGCAACTTCTCTTGATTGCAATCTGAGTTGACTGAGAACTGAGGGTTGGGATCATTGAGGATTGCATTGATTGTCACCTACAATGACTGTAATCCTGATCTGAGAGGTCTGTGTACCAATGATTGTGACGTTTTGGTACTAACCTGTAAGGATAGTGAAGTGAGGTGACTGTGACCTAGTAGCTTTACATGATTGATCTAAGGGAGCCTGCATTGATTGTGATCTGAGGTGATTGTGAACAAATTATTAATGGTGCCTTTCACAATTTCTGTGAGGTGACTGTGATTGTGACCTACAGAGATTTGGCTTGAGGTGACCAAGAATCAGTGATTGGGGCCTTGACCATTGGACATGTGTAGTCAAGGTGCAGAGACTGTTCATAGCTGACAGCTTAGGTTACTGATCTGCATTGTGAGGTAAGGTAACTAGGATGTGACTGAGAATGATGCTACTAAGTTTGTAGCACTCTTCGGTTTCTGATTTTGTTTTAATAAAATATCCTCCCAGGATCTACAAATTACATCGCCTTGCTGGATCCACGAAAACAAGAAGTAAGGACGAAGACGAGAGCGAGTCAGTCCTCAGGAAATGCTAGACGAAGCAACGCTTACGACACATAGACGGGAACCACTCGCCAGTAAAACCCCCAAAGCCACTCTTCATCCCGAGGCCCCCTCCCCCTCCTCCTATTGGCCCTTGGTGCGCCTGCGCGGAGGTGGGGCGGTGCTTTGCCCTTTGTTGTGGGCCCCAGTTTCCCAGGATACCGCGCGGCTCTGGGGTGGGGCTATGCAGATGAGACACTCGGGGGCGGGGCGGTTGCGGTGGCGTCGGCGGCGGCCGGGGAGGGTCAGTTGGAGGCAGGCGCTCGCTGAGGCAGGAGGAGGGCTCTCGGCCCGCGGCCTGACAGGGACTTAGCCCGCAGCGATCGGCCCCACGCGCGCGACCCCACACCTACCCACTCATCCACCTACCCACTCCCTGCGCCGCCTCCTCCCACCCTGAGCAGAGCCGCCGAGGATGATAAACACCCAGGACAGGTAACGGCCCGGCCCAGGCTTCTCGCCCTCGTCCTCCCCTCATCTTCTCCAGAGGGCCTCCTCCGCCACCACCCAGCTGGCTCCTCCCCTCTCCACAGGGCCCCATCCACCCCCCACCGGGTCCGGTCCCCACTCCAGCTACCCTAATTCGAGCCCCAGCCCCACAACTGGGCCTCCTTGGGTCCTGTAGCCCCCTCCCCCTAGCCCGGCCCATCCCCCTCATCCGGGCCTTTTGCCCTGAAACCCCCACAAACCCGGACCCAGCCTTCTAATCAGGTCCCCTTGTCCTTTCAGCACTGCCGAACGGTGCCCTGTTCCCCAAACTAGGCTTTCTCCCTTATCCTGGTTCCCCAGATTGTTTCCCATTCCTCAAATCTTCTCCCTCTTTTAAGTCACTTAACCATCCCCTTTAAGTCTCTTCCTTAATTCATACTGCCCTCCCCCACCAGACCTCTCTCTCATCACCCAATTCAGGCTCCATCCTTCAGCTTCTCAACTGGAATCATTACCACCGACTCCCCCTACTCCCCTCTGTCCCCCAGGCCTAATAGTCTTCCCAGCATGCCCAGCCCTCCCCTTGGTCCTTCACTCGAGCTTCATTTTTTCCCCTTTTTTTTTCCCCTCTTTTTTTCCCTCAACACCTCACTCCCAGTTAGGCCCAGTTTTCCTCTCTCCCAACTTCATTCCTTTTATTTTTCCAACACTGGGCTTAATTCCTCCCATCTCAACAGAACCCCATCTTTAGATCATTGGTGCCACAGAACTCAGGCCACCCTACTTCCAGTGGAGGCCTTAAAGGACTACCCCTTTTTCCTTGTACCTTCAGTGACTTCAAATCTGGCCTCATAACTTGGAAACTGGGCCTTTGCAAGTTTCCTCCCTCAAAACCTGACCCTAGCCTTCCTTCATTAATTGCAGAGAGAGGCTTCACATCTTTCAGAAACTGAATACCAGTGGTTTTCCAAACTTACATCCTGTATTCTTCCCCCTTCCCAAACTAGGCACAGTTCATCTCTCAATTTTCTTCTCTGTTTCTCCTTTCTTCTAGGCAGCCCTTCTTACCCATCTCTCTCTCAAACATATCCCCTATTTCTGCCTCCAACTTTTCTCTTTAACTGTTCCATAATCCCTTGATTTTCCACATTTTTAAAACTCCAGTTGCCTTTTCCATACCAGGATGGCTTATATTTACAATTTGAGCCCAATTCCCTTCTTTATTTTTTCCCTAGATCTCTTGCTGTCCCCTTCAAAATAAGTCAACCTCATTAGTTTCCCACATAAGACCCTTTGTCCCCAGTTTGCCTTATGGCCTCTGCCCCTCTTTTGGAGCTCATTGTTTGGTAAGCAAATCCATTCCCTGGAAATGCTCCTTAAATTGTGCGGTGGTCTGTTTGAAACTAGACTTTAGTTCCTTTCACAAACATGGCCTTCCTTATTCTTTATTGCTTTTATTCATCTAAGGCTCTGTTATTCATGGTTCTCAAATTTGGGCTTCCTTCTCACTAAAATGGTATCTAACTTTCTGTTTCCTACCCCTTCAGCAGGAGCATCCTTTAATACTCTTGAGTTTTCAGATTTTTTTTCTGTTTTTCATTGTGGCTGCACATTTGCAAGATCACTCACCTCAATCCCACCTTCTAAGATTTGGTCTAACTGGCTTGGGATGGAGCTTGGTTATTAGTATAATTTTTAAAGCTCCTCAAGTAATTTTTTCTAATGTGCATCTGGGGTTGAGAAACACTGCCCGTCCTCACCCCCCAAAAAGCCTCAGCCCTTCCCATCATATTCCTTTAGGGATGTCAGCCCTTTCTCTATTGACTAAGGCCTTATTTCCTTCAGGGATTTCTTAGTCTTTCTCAGGTACTACTCAGAAATACCCAGGGTACCCTCAACAACCTCTTAAATTCTATCTTGAGTTTTACTCAGTTCTCAGCCATTAGTCTTTTTTTTTCCCTATCAATTTTCAGACTGTCTCTCCCCTTATCCCCCTCACTTCTTTCCTACATACAGAAAGAAAATAAACTCCCCATTTCCTGGTTTGTTCTGTTCCTAGCTGACCCATTATCCCTGCCTCCCAAGCCCTCTTTACCCACAATCCCATTCTGCTGTTATATTTTCTTTCCTCTTTGCATTCCTTTTTCTCGCTTACTCCATTTTCTTTAACCAGTCCCTTTGGAACTGTGGAGGTGGAGGTGGATATATACTTTTTGGTGCTGAATGCAAAAGGTGTTACTTGTGGTAAAGGCTGTGTGTGCTGAGGATAGATGGCAGGTATGAGAGACTGCAGGAGGAAGTGCAGGGGTGGAGGGAAGCAGAGGAACCTACAGGACAACCCACTGAAGGGATATGTAACATGGATTTTTTTTTTCTGGTCTGATGTTTTTGTGTCTCCACAGTAGGGATTGGAAGATAGAGTGGACTGAGCTGGTCTTAGATGACAAGTCCTTTGCAGGTTGAGCCCTGGAGAAGTTGAGCGCTTGGGACCAATACATAAGGGTCTTCACAGACTGAGATTGAGAGACCTGAATTCTGGTTCTGGCTTAGCTAGTGTGCTTACATGTAAAAGAGGGGGTTGGGTTAGCTTAACGTGAAAATTCCTTCCAGCTTCCTAAGTGGCAAAACAGGCTTGCTTGTCTCCAGGGCCCTTGCTTAGTGCGTTAGTAATTTGAGGGGCTTGGCTGTATGAAAGGCAGGTGGAGGGAGGAGCCAGCCGGCTTGCCAGGGCCTGGGAAGGAGTGAGCCCTTGGATCAGGCTCCTCCACTTTGGCCTGGGGGTGGGGTGGTGTGTGCAGGGTGTCTGGTTTCTTTGAGTTATGGCAATCCTGTCTCCATAACATGTTTTCCAGCCTCTTCTGTCCTGCCCCTAACTTTGTAAAAGGAATCCTGGTAGAGCCCTAATAGGGATTCTGATAAGAGCCGGATGTTCTCAGTCTGTGCTCTTGGTGTTTTGTATCCACTGAGAAGGGAGCTGGCTGGGAGTTTAGCTCTCCCATTGGATGGGGGATGGGATTTCCAGTTTCCCTGGCTCCCACGAACTAACTACTGGAGAGGTGGAGACCCAGTTTCCTGGAAGAAATAGTTGCAGGGGAGCAGGCAGTGTGTTTTGAAAACAAGGCTCTTCCTTTCCAGTCTTGTTCTGATTGGTACCTTCAAAATGTCAAAATTCCTGATGATGGGGGAGGGAAGAAGACATAAGTACAAGCACCTTTATTATGACTTTTGAACATGAGGTTTAGATGCAAGGAAATGATTGTTAGATCTGTGTAGCCTTTCTCCCTGGATTTGTGGGGACAAGGAGAGTTTCTGTCTAGGGCTTGCTTAGTACTCTGTGATAGTACACTATGTGGAGAAGATCTAGTCCTGGCTTGATAACTATATTATAATCAGTCTGTGTGTTGATGGGCTGTGGGGAAAAGCATTTGGTTCTACGGATAATTTTTTTTGGAGGGGTGGGCAAGGCACAAGAGCACACCAGAGCTGCCATGAGCATCTGCACTGGTTTTCTAGGCAGTGGAATTCTGTCTTTCCCCATATAATTTGGTTTTGGTTATTCTGTATTTAATAACACTATGGCTTATTGGGTGTGGGCTTGTAGGGTGAGCCAGTTTTCCTAGGATGTGCCTTCAAGGTTACCCCACAAAAAGACTAGTATAGTCAGCAATCCCCCCATATCGGAGGTATGCTTTAGAAAGTATTGTGGACTAATAATAGCAATTCCCCACTCTGCCAAGAAATCCAAATTTAGTCTTGGAGCTGCTCAGAAATACAAAAAGGGGACTCAGGAGTGGGGTAGAGGGATGTTACAAATGTGCATGTCTAGAAGAGTAATTCATCCCTTTTTGAAACAGTATGCAGTGTTGATTCAAGTTGGTGCCATGATTCGGAAGGCTATGAAGCCTAATTGATAGACCAGAAATGGCTGAGTAGGTGAGCAAGAATTTTGTTACTTGAAGTGAACAAACAGGTAGTTTCTTGTTAGCAGCAGCAGAATAAGATAACTTAGTAGAAGATAAGCCTTAAGAAAATACCCCAGGTCTTTGATACTATATAAACAATGAAGTAAATCTGTCCTGGGACAGAAGGCTGGCACTGGGTTATGAGCTTACTATACAAACTAGATCTAGGTACTGAAGATGTAAAATTAAAATCTTAAAGCATGATCCCCAAGCTATCCAGCCACCTCTGGTAGCATATGTGACTGTGCTTACCTTTGTTGTAAGATGTGCTGATGTCAGTTGTGTAGTAAAATCTGTCTTAAGGAAGAGAAACAAACCTCCGAGGCACAGATCCCCTAGCTGTTGCCATAAGTGTGTTTCTTGTAGAAAAGCAACCAAAACCCAGTTTAGCTTCAATCTGTGATTCAGAGTGGTGATGTCATTTTCTTTATAATCTTGCTTAGCAAGTAGACTCCCTTTGGAATGCAAACAGCCCCAGTGAAATGACTTAAGCCTGGCATCTGCCCAGAGCCCCTTTCTCATATGGAAGGGGGGTTGGCAAATGGGAATCAGCCTGTACAGTTACACTAGACTGAAGGTGGCCATCACCTCCCACCTTTCTTCCTCTTTTTGGCTAAGTGTGATGACAGCCCTGGATTGGTCCCCCTTACAAAAGGATTAGTTATCAGAGACATTTTCTAGTCTCAGAGTAAAAGCAGCCTGTGTGAGGGAGGTTAGGGCACCCTAGAAAGGGTTCTGTGATGCAAGGCGGAGACATGAAAGAGTTAGAAGAGGCTGAAAGTGGGAAGTGAAAGAAGAGTACTAGGAATGTAATTTTTGTGTCTTTTCACTTGATGCCAAAAGGTCAGTCATACCAGGGCCTTCTGACAGGTATTGGAAACCAGAGAGAAAGGGTGCAGACTTGAACAAGCTAAGGAGCTGCCGATTCAAGTGAAACTTACCAAAAGCCTGTCAAGGAGAATTTGAATTTAAGTATTTGTAGCTGAATAGAAGCTTGCCACAGAATAACTTTTATATTAAATCTCTATTCTGCTGTATCCTACATTGAGCAAACCAAATATAAAAATCAAAATTGACATCAAAGTCAACTGGAAGTGATTTTTCCTTTAACAGGAGATGCTTTATTTTATCAGGAGAAAGGTTAATTTCTTTAAATAGTAAGTACACTGGAGATTTTAAGTAGGATTTGAATGATAAAAATTTGATTTGCCATCAGCATTCCCCAAGGAATACATCTGCTGCTTATATTGTATGTCTGTTTGTAACCACTATATGAAATTATAACCTGCTAAGGACATTTCAGGCAAGTTTCACAGAATGCTTTAAATTAGGGGACACCAGTATGTGGTATAGTGGAGCTCTCATATACTGTGTTATCCCTAAGAATGTTTCCAAGGGCATGTCTGATAACAGCGGAAAAAATAAAAGGCACCAACAGATTGGCTCCAATCATCCATCTCTCTTCTGAGTTGACTGGGATGCTGGATACTTGACACTCTCACTTCAAGTGTGCTGTATTTTTTTCCTTCTCTTTCAAAAGCAGGACCAGCCTAGCTGGATGTCTGGGTTCAGTCTGATACATTTGATTCTCTTTAATTGGCCTGCTTTTTACAGCTTCTGGACGGAGCATCTTAAATCATCTTTGTGGTGGTAGTGATTAAACCATGTCTGCTCCCCAGTGGAGTGAACAGGATGTGAGGAAGGATGGGAAAAAGCTGGGCTTCGGGGACAGTTAGAAACAGAACTAAAGTGAATATCAAACCTAACCTGGTTTGAATCTTTTGATAGGAGGGTCTGGTTTAGAAGCTGCTTTCTTTTGTACCTAAGTTCCTACAGGATTCATTGTTCCCAGTGGGGGTTGGTGGCATGTTTTGCCACAATACCATTTTGAACACAAAAGCCAATTTAAGAAGAGAAGGCCATTGCTGGGCAATTTAATGTTTTTTTTTAATTCCTTTAATTACTACATTTGTACCCATTTCTAGTCCCTTCTCACTTCAGAAATGAAAACCAGGTTTTTTGAAAGAGAAGCAATTTGCCATTCACAGTAAATAACTAAAATCAGATCCATTATGATGGACGGTGAATATAATTATTGATTGTGGTCTACTGTCTATGAAGCTTATCCTGAACCCCAGCTGTTTCTCTTAGGGAACTGGAATTAGATTGCAGGGTCCGGGCTTGAAATATCACTCCACCCCCACTCTCAAACACACACACACACACACACACACACACGCTTTGCTGCAGACTTTGTGGGAGAGGAGGAGGAAGAGTCTCCAGGATCCTTGTGTGAGGAAATTAAATGATTTGTTACCATAGCATAGACTTCTTGCATTTATTTGAAGAGGAGAGAAATCAGGAAACCAGAAATATCAAGAACTCAAAGATTAGTGCTGGAATAGATGCCCCAGATTATTTCTAGGAAAAGAGATTCTGGATCTTAAAGCAAAAAACAAAAAACACCTCACCTTATTCTGTATGTTGACCTCATTGCTTCTGCCATTTGTAAGTAAAAATTGGCTCAGACTCAAAATGATGGTTGGGTATGCAGGACAGGGCTTGGATGGGGCTTTCCCATCTAAAGACTGGGTGGAGTAGTAATTCTTCTGCAACTAGGAGTCTGAAGTTAAGTGAGTTGGCAGCAGGATTCTAGAATTGCAGGGGCCTTGGTGATCTGTGTGTCTTGTGAACCCAAGCAGCTCACTTGGCATAGAGGGCTATGTCTCATCTGTCTACTCCAGAGGGAATTTGCCCAGTCCTTGGGGAGCTCCACTGACCAATATAAGCAAGCCAGCTTTCTTCTGTGGGTCAGTCTCCCTGCTGATCCTGCATGAACCTCGGTATAGGCGAGAAGTTGCCACTAGGAAATGGGTGGGAAGGGAATCATGTGGGGCCTACGTGTGCCTTTCTTGGGGAAACCCCTCATCTTATTTTTTCCTGCCTGGACACTCTATTATTCTGCGCCTTCACACATTGGAAGAGGGATCAAATAGCTCATTGTCCAGCAGCATAGTCCTCTGTTATGCCCCTTCTGTTAGCTGTTGGTGAGACCAAGCATGGGGGAGATAAGGATGCTGAGGTTTTCCAGAGGAGGCAGGGGTGTGGCATGTGGTTATCACTCTCAGGTGTTGATACTGCTCCAGCCCATCATGCCCTGGGAACTCCATTTACCAAAGACATTTCTAGATATACTCTTCGGCCCTAGGAAACTTGAGCTAAAGCAGTGAGGGATTTCAGGTGCCAATACAAGTCTGCTAGTATTAAGGGCTCTGGTGGCATAGTGCCTAAGGCACTTGACTGCTAACCAGAAGGCTGGCAGTTCAAACCCACCAGCCACTCCTTGGAAGGTTGGGCAATCTACTTCCGTAGTGGTAACTGCCTTGGAAACCCAAGGAGGGGTCGCTATGAGTCGGAGATGACTTGACGGCATATAACAGTACTAAGGGTCTACATAGGCTGTCCCTTTGGTTATTGTACCATTGCCATGTCAGGTGTGAGTTCATTTTGTCATTTTGGATAGAAGAGCCAAAATCTGGGATGCTATGCCATAGAGTACAGTGTGAGGAATGGTGCCTCATACCATTTTATAACTGGCTTTCAGGAAAAAGCCCTGATTTATAGCATTCACTGAGTCCTGTGGTATAAACCGCCCCCCTCCCCAATGTCTAAGTCCAGCACCCTGAGGCTGGTGTGTTGGGGCTCTAGGACAGGCCTGTTGCTGGGTCATGGTGCACAGCTGGCCTTTGTCCCTGCTTCACTTGCCCTTTGCCCAGGAGTGAGCTTAGTGGCATCTCAGTGTAAAGGAGCCACTAAGTTGGGTACACAGAGGCAGTGGAGCACATTTGGAGCTCTGGTGGCCGTTAAGGGCACATACCTGGAGGTGATAGGGAACTCCTTCAGGAGCCTTTCACTTTCTCTAATCCATCTGATTATTGACTTCCTTCCTCAGGTCGTAGCACGTATGCCTCCTCCCAGAACCTCCCCTTACTCCCCAACCTGACCACATCAGTATTGCCAAACTCCCATGCCTAGGTCAGATTCTAGCAAAGAAGTGCAAGGAAGTCCAGCATTTAGTGGCATGCCAGGGACAAACTCAAATACCATACTACTGTATGTGCGTTAGTGCACCTCTGCTTTGGGAGCCACACCCCTGGATTTAATTCAGTTCTTGACCCTAGCGGGATTTGGGTAAGTGATTTCTTGTTCCACGTTCTTTGCTCAGATGGGGGAATGGGCCATCATTGGGAAGGTGGCCTTTGGAGTTCCTCAGGGACATGGTACTCAGCCCATATGCCTCTGTTCTCCAGCCTGAAGTGACTGTGTAGACTGTGATTCTGCCACATAGTTGTTGAGCCACTGTTGGGGTGAGAAAAGATTGGGGGGTGGGGTGGGGTGGGGTGGGGTACTGTGAACTCCCAGGCAGCCTTTGTCTAGTTAGCAAGCCCTGATCTGGTTCCTCCAGGGTCTGCCCAGTGCCACAAAGTTTGTTTAAAAATATTTGACAGATGGTGCTCTGGTCAGACATATCCATCCAGACTCCCTCTGCCTCTGCAAGGTGGTGGGTTCTGTTCTCTTAGGTAGTCTGGAAGCTGAAGCTGAAGGAAGTAGGGCAGTGGTGTGTGTAGTCTTAGAGCACTTGTTTAGGGAGAGCAGGGCAGGGGTTGAGGTGGGATATCACATGAAATCTTCAAGTCTTGGTGTTTACTGTCTCACCTTTTCTGTCTCTTGCAGTAGTATTTTGCCTTTGAGTAACTGTCCCCAGCTCCAGTGCTGCAGGCACATTGTTCCGGGGCCTCTGTGGTGCTCCTGATGCCCCTCACCCACTGTCGAAGATCCCCGGTGGGCGAGGGGGCAGCAGGGATCCTTCTCTCTCAGCTCTAATATATAAGGTAAGGAGGACCTAGGTTAGAAGGCTTGGGGGAGAGCCTTCTCAGACACCACTGAGCTCAAGGACAGTAATCACTTTCTTTAGTTCTTCAGGCTTTGGTTTCTTAGGCCAAATGAATGTGGGGATTAGGATGGACTCTTTGGATAGAGGCTGCTAGGAGACTTCTGGAGAATAGTAGGGCAGGGAGGGTATCAGCACCAAGCGAACACCCTGCCATTTTCTCAGCTTGGCGGCTAGCACTCGAATAGTGCTGTTTCAGGGTCCTACGTGGGAATGACACAAGAGCATTTCTTGATGCTACTCCTCAGTTTGCCTTAAGTGCCGGGAGCTTGATGCTGGGGGTGGGAGGTGGTGTGTAGATGGGCAGTAAGGAGAGGCGGTCTCACATCTCAATCACCTACTACCTGGCAGTGCAAGATATGGTCCAGTAGCTTTGGAAAACTTTAGGGAACTGCTTCAACATCTTTCCTTTTTTCTCCCCAAGAGAAAAAGACTGATCTGGGCTGAAGCAGCTAGTTATCTGCTGCTACCTTTTAATCATCTATGATTTGCTCCCACAAGTTGGTTTAGAATTTCCCCAAGACTGGAATCGAAGGATAGCAGGGTACCTGAGCTCTGATCTCATGAGATTATGCCCAGGTGAGCTAACAGGGACCCTGCAGCCCACCTAGAAGCAGGCTTTAGTTGAGCCTGGCCCCTGCCAAGCCCTCACATGTCCTCATTATTTTTCATGTTTCCCTTTCAGAGAGGGCCGGGAAATGGCATGGACTTTGGAGTTAGGGCAACCTGGTGAACTCAGCTCTGTCATTTACTAGCTGTGGAGTCTTGGGTCAGTTACCTAATTGGCATGGGTCTTAGTACCTCCTGTTTAAGATGGGGACAGGACACTAATGCCTGCTTCACGTGATTGTGAAGCACATGCACAGTATTTGGCACCCAGTGGACACCTAGTCCGTATTCCCTTCATGTTACACTGGCTTTGAATTTCAGTGCCAATGAGTGATGGCTCCATTTGGCCAGCATATAGCTCTGCATTTTCAGGGTGCTTCTGTCCCATGCTACCCTGTGATTGGAGCAAGGGGACTCCCAGTACCACCTCAGTTACAGAGCATGTGATGTGGTCAGAGCAGCAGTGACCTGGTCCTCTGCCCCACTTTCCTTCCCAGGACGAGAAGCTTACTGTGACCCAGGACCTCCCCGTGAATGATGGAAAACCTCACATCATCCATTTCCAGTATGAGGTCACTGAGGTGAAGGTCTCTTCCTGGGATGCAGTCCTGTCCAGCCAGAGCCTGTTTGTAGAAATTCCAGATGGATTATTAGCTGATGGGAGCAAAGAAGGGTAAGGAGTAAATGGGGAAAGGAGGTCCTGTTCCAGAGGAGGTGCATATACTGGGGATAAGAGATGAGGGGGCATCTGGGCCTTCTCCCCTAGCTCTAGGCTTCCCAAGCACATAGCATTTTGTAATAGGTTATTTTTAGCTAGTGCAACAGACCTGTTCTAATTATAATTAAAGCCGATCATTATTAATGAAATCTCTGCCAGTTAATTGCCCCTGGTTCATTCTTTGCAGTAGATGCTAAATCTCCCTTGATCTGCCATACAATGATGTAGTTCAAAGGCCAGGAAGCTTAGGTACACAGTGGGCTTTCACTGGGTTGGGCCAGGCTCCCCAACAGCCAGATGTCAAAACTGTTCTGAGGAGGGAGTTATGTTGAGTGGCCCCAACCTCTTTAGGAAATCCTTGCAGGTAGTGTTAGGGCCCAGGGTCCTTCTCGGGCAAGTTATCATCCAACCATGGAAATCTTGCAGGACCCCTAAGAGCTGAATTCTCTTTCTAGGCACTAAACACTTATCTTGTGAACTGCATTAGTTAAGTTTGTGTTAATTTCAGATGAAGAACCCATTTTCAGAAGAGATGATTCAGTAATCATTCTCAGTGGTTGTGGCTAAACTAAAGGTTCCTATGGTCTTGAAACAGGAACTTCACTATTTATAATACTGGCTGTGTCCCAACCCCCCTCCCTGGGGGGACAGATGGGAAGGAGGTCTAGGGGAGTGGGTCTGAGTCTTTTTCTTTGCCTCTTGCAGATTGTTAGCACTACTAGAGTTTGCTGAAGAAAAGATGAAAGTGAACTACGTCTTCATCTGCTTCAGGAAGGGCCGAGAAGACAGAGGTGAGGAGTCAAAGTAGCCTAAGACCTACTGCCCAGACAGTGAGGTTCTAGGGAGGAGAAGGGGGCTTCTGTACAGAGAGGTTGGGCCTTACAAACCCTGGGAATTCATGGAGGGTGGTGCCCCAAGGGTTACAAAGGGCTTATTTGTTCCATCTTTGTTTTGGATGTTCCCTTGATCTGAGCTACCCTTATGTTCATCAGAATTCTTTCCACACTGTCTTCTGCAGCTCCACTCCTGAAGACCTTCAGCTTCTTGGGCTTTGAGATTGTTCGTCCAGGCCATCCCTGTGTTCCCTCTCGGCCAGATGTGATGTTCATGGTTTACCCCCTGGACCAGAACTTGTCCGATGAGGACTAATGGTCATGGAGGATGCTTTGCCCAAGAGCCACGTGGGGGAAGAGGGGAAGGTCAGGCAGCCCTGGGACTGAGGAGGGGGCTCCTTGCTCTCTAGGGAAGGACGCAGAGGGGCTCAGGGTGAGGGTTGCCTATTGTGTTCTTGGAGTTGACTTGTCGAAATTGTTTTCCATAAAGAACAGTATAAACATATTATTCACATGTAATCACCAATAGTAAATGAAGATGTTTATGAACTGGCATTAGAAGCTTTTTAAACTGCGCTGTGTGACGTGCTCTATCTAGCCTAGGGGAGGACATTGCTAGAGGGAGGGGCTGTCTGGGCCCAGGGTGAGGGCTGGAGGGCTAGTGGGCAGCACTGCTAGGCTCAGGTTCCCCTGCTGTTGGGCTTTCTTTTTTGGTTTTAAGACTTGCGTATTTTTCTTTCCCTGCTTCTTAGCACCCAGGGGGCTCCTGGGTATAGGCTTTTTAGCCCCTGGGCAGTGTCCTTGGATTGTTTTTTTTGACACTCCACCTGGGCTTCTCTGTGCATTTGTGTCTGGCCTGGATTAAGCAGGTCTGACCCCTCCTTCTTTACAGCTTGGTGTTATTCTGGCATCTGGTTAAGTCGGCTTAATCTGTTAAATGTTATCAATGCATTTTAAATAGGGGCACTGAAGTTCACTCCCACCCCCAGGGCTTTTTTGGGGGTGCCTGGGCCTTAAAAAAACACTAGCCAAATACCAATTATTGCTAGGAGTTCTTGCTCCTGGCTATAGGCCCAGGCCCCAAGGTCTCCTTCCTAGAGTCACTAAGAGCAGAGAGGAGGAGGAATAGCAACTCAGGGCCTGGGAGCTGTGGGAGAATCTATTCTTAGGGACTGGATGCCTTTGGCTGGCAAAGTGTAGTGGTAACTGTCTCTTCTCCCTAACAGGTTCTGAATAGTACCTGCGACCCTGCTCCACAGACCTAGGGGTAGGAAAGGGGGTGTAGAGGTGGCCTGCCTTTTTCTGTTTTCACTGAACAGCTTGTTTGAAGGGGGGACGAAGGGGGAGAGATCTCGTTTGGGTGAATGGGTGGGGGTGGGGGTGCCAGGGAGGCAAGTGTGTTGTGTTACTGTGTCAATAAACGAATTTAACGTTGTGGTTGGTTGGTTCTTTATTCCTATACCAGGACCACTTCCCTACCATTACTGCCTTTTGAGGTGCAGGGGTTAATCTAGTAGGTGTACAGAAAAAATCTGCAGTGCAGCAGGGGAGATAAACTGGCCGAGGTCTCTGGGGACACATTACACCATGAAATGTGGGGTTGCTAGGAGTCTAAGACACATGCCAGAGTCCCTAGAGACAGGTGCACACACATCGACTTCATCCAGAAGAGAAGCTAAGCCCTTCTTTTTTACAGAAGGCTGGGCCCTGAAACAGTCTTCGCTTTTGCATGGAGCTTCCTAACATTCCCATTCCTGGAAGTCTTTAAAGGAAACATACACCTTCCCTAGGAAGATCCTTTCCTCCTCTTGGAGCCCAATGCCTTAAGGCATGGCTTCCATCCTCTGGTACCACCAGCCGATGAGTAAGTTCTCAGGAGCTCTGCAGGGCTATCATTCCCTTCACCTATGTTCTCTCTTAATTTCTCAAGGGCTTACTAGCATTTTTCCCTATTTCTTTTTTTCCAAGTGGAGTTCTGGGCATGTCCTTCTATCTCCTTTAGTTCTGGAATGTCCACTGTTGAGCTATGGCTATCTTTAGTTTTTCTAAGGGTCTCTGGCAGATTTTCATATTATTCTTGGAGCTTACTTGTGTTTCTACTATGGACCAAGCTATTAATCTTGTACTCCACTTGGTATTCATCAAAAGAATTGACTGCAAAAAAAAGCCCTCCCCCAAGTATTACTAAAGCAGGTCTGGGCCTAGAGAAATTCCACTGAAATCCAAAGGGCCTGAAGATGTCCACCAGTAAGAAGCTAACCCCAATAGGCAGCCTGAAGGTAGTGACTGAAAATGGTTACGATAGATACACAGGAATGCTGACAATGGCCAATATCTACATGAAGGCAGTTTAGGATTCAGATGTTAACTTCAGACCCAAGGAATCTACAATTCAGAGATAAAGGAAAAAGTCCTTTCCTTTTCTCCAAAGTTAGCAGAAACACGCCTGAGATTCTTCTGCCCTCTGCCGGTAGCTCCTGTTCAATACAGCCAAAGCTAAAAAGTTACTTTTGAGTATGGCGACCCCTTGTGTGTCAGAGTAGAACTGTGTTCCCACAGGGTTTTCAATGGCTGATTTTTTCAGTAGATCGCCAGATCTTTCTTCCAAGGAACCTCTGCATGGGTTCAAACTTCGAGCTTTCAGTTAGCAGCCAAGCGCTGTAACAATGTGCATCACCCAGGGACTCCTACAGGTAAGAGTTAGAAGGGCAACATTGGAAAGACCTAGGTATTCAGACAAGATTTCCCTTTTAAAAAGGAAAAGTTTTCTTACTGAAAATCACTAACAGGAGAGAAATAGGCTGCAAAAGGCTACACTCCAATTTTTTTTTTTTTTAAAATGACTTAGAAGGTAGAATACTTTCTGGGAGGTGAAGTGGGATAAGAGGAGATATGTGAAAGGCAAACTAAGTCTAAATTTAAGAACAGGGACATTAAAAACTTTATTCAATAAATACAACAAATAATTTAAAAATATACTTCAATTCCAAAGCCAATTAAGAAAAGTAGAGGGGGGGGCGGAAAGGGAGGAACAGGAAAGCAGAGGAAAAGGAGAGAGGCGGAACAGTGGTTTGGTTGGGTTGTTGCAGAATGTTACCACCCTTTGAAATTCTGATGAAATGCTCTTGACCCATAAGCCCATAGCCCTTGTTCTGGTGGGTAGTCGCAGGAGTCCATCAGCCAGGAATGAGTCTCTGGGCTCTGGGATCAGAGCACTCTGGAGGCTGGAATCTGCAGGGAGTTCTGGGGAACAGTTTCCCACTTATTCCTAAAAACCATCCATCCTAACTCCCTGGCAAGTTTAAATAGTGCAAATTCTTAGGCAGAGAGCTCCTGGCTGCATAGTTTCACAGGTGAGTGTCCAAAGCCAGGGCCTCCAGGAGGCAGGTCCTAGAGTACCCAGGGGTCCAAAGCCACTTTGGTGAATGGGATCTAAGTTACAAGAGGAGTGACCAAGCCAGCAAACAGTGCTGGGCAGGAAAAGGCTGCAGGGCAGGTAGTCTGGACACTGGGTTCAAACAGGTTGCCATCAGCCAGGGAAGGTAAAGCTGAGGATGCATATGGAGCAGGACCAGGAAGATCAGGAAAGCCGAGGGAGAAGGGAAAAGGGGGGGGGGGAAAGGAGGCAGCTCAGCAGCAAACTCCAGGAGAAATAACCAGCAGCCCTCACAGATTTGTGATTGTCTCTTAAAAAGATTTATTTTCTCTTCTTGCCTGAATGTACAAAGGCAAAAAGAGTACAGTTTGTATATATATATATTTATATATATATATAAAAAAACAAGGAACTTGGTAATGTACACTTTACAGAAGGGAAGATTCAGGAAGACTGAAATTAAATCCAACAGAGCAACGCCAATGGAACAAAAGCTATGAACAGCAACACTGCCCCTCCAGCCCGGGCCTCCAGCTCGCCCCAACCTGCTCCCAATGGGGGGCTGAGCACCAAGGCAAGCGGGTGGGCTGGGGCAGGAGGGGCTCGATCCCGGGAGGGGCCCATGGCAGAGGATCATTGGAAAGCTTCCTGGGATGCCCTAGTAATGAAGCAAATGACAGAGGCCCAGCATTATGGGCCAACTAGCTGCCCAGTTAAATCTTTGGGGCATCAGAGTAGATGGTGAATAGGGTATATGGGATAGTAAGTGACATGGGTGGCCTCAAAGCTTGTATACAATAATTCTCTAGCCCTTCTGCAGTCTTAACCCCAACTCCCTAAGCCAAGTCCTGCCACCCCCACCTTGGAGCCTGGAAAGAAGAGATCCAAGAGTTACCATTTCACTTCATAGGGTGCCCTCTTACCCTTCTGTATGTGGTTCCTTGACCTTGGGATATATGGAGAGGGTTGGGGTAAGAGACGGAAACTCCATACATGTACAAGGCAGGGAAGGAAGGGAGCTGGCACACCTTGAAGAGGAAAAAGTCAACGTGAATCCTAAAGAACAGCTCTCCTCTAAGCCTGAGCTACCTCACCTAGGGATGAGGCACTTCCTTCCCCTTCTCCTCTTGGCGGAGCCCCAGTGAGCAATATCCATGAAGGCCTGGACAGGCGTGGCTCCGAAGGAGCCTTGGTCTGGTGGCCTGGGTTCTTAGCAGCAAACTTTTCTAGCCCTTGCTTCTGGGGTGGGGGTTCTTGCCTCATCCCTCTGATCAGATCATGAGTGTACATGTACATGTACTCCCCCCCACCTCACCTGTGCTCCTCCCCCTCAAGAAGGGAGGCTGGAGGTGGTCAGCAAACCTCCACTCAGCCTTTGTCAAGGATCAGCATTCTGTGTTTTCAGAGAGGGAAGACTGGACCTGGCAAGGATGAGGGACCAGGAAAAGGCAGCGCCATACTGCCACCGTCGCCTTCTCACCTGCTCTTCTGAGTAGCTCCTACTCTTCAAGGTATAATTGGGTATAAGGATCAAAGAGCCAAATGTTTTATAAGGAAGAAAAAGAAAAAGTGGTTTCTTTCTACAAGACCCCAAGGCTGCCCTGCTAATACAGAAGCTTCCTCCTCTCTGTTAAAGAACGAAGTGGAAGGGGCAGGAATGTGGGGCCATGCCTGCCCAAAGGGAAAGAAAATTACTCCAAACAGTTTCTTTACAATATGTACAGAGCACACTGTAGGCCAGTGCCACAGATATAAAACACACAACAATATTTATAAACAAACAGCAACAGAGATGGGCCCTTGGCTCTACCCCAGTGGAGCCTGGGAGGGCATAATCAGGCTGAAATTCGGTCACCTTGGAAGTGGTGACTCAGGTTAGGTGGGGTCTAGATGCCCCCACCAGCTACTTCCGTGTATAAATGGGAAGTCACTGCTCCAAGCAGTGGGGCAGCAGGAGGCAGAAGGAATGATAGGTGAGAGGGAGGCTGCTTGGAGCTACCAAGAGGTCTAAGACACTTGGGGAGGGAAGTTTGACCCAAATGAACAAAAACAAGGACAGGAAACCTAAAGAAAAGGTCTGCAGGTGAGAGGTGGTTCCTCTTGGGCAAATGTCTCCATGCTTGTCTGTATCTAGGGCTCCAGGCTTCTTGGAAACCAACCTCTGCTGGGCATT